TTGCAGTGAATTTTCTGTAATTATATGTAAAGGCCTAGTGAATAGGTTGTTAGATGCAGAAGAAGTACAAGTCAATGTATCATTGCTTGGAAATACCTGCTTACTTTGAGGCAAAAAAAAAAAAAGAAAAAAAACTTTGGGAGTATTTTAGTGAATGATGGGTCCTAATTAACATTTGATTATAGTATATCAAATATATATTCTCTTATAGGAAGTAAATCTGAATTTTCATGATACAGTTGGGTTTTAGAAAAATAGTTGTGTTTCATTGAAAAAAGGAGCATGAAAAAACCTGATACCTGTCTGATTGGACTTGTTTTCTAAACACAACTTGAGTAAGAGAGAACTGAGCAGTATTAACCACAGGAATAGGTACTGTTCTAGCAGAGATAGACCTAAAGCCCCAAGCTAACTATGATCTAAAGCAGCCCTCTCCAATGCTATGCACAGATTTCCAAGCCAGAAGAATCCAGATAGCAGTGAGGTGACCTTTGTGTTAACTGTGTCTGTTGAGAGTTTGTATAGTTATATATGTGACCAATGCATAGTTCTCATCTTCATGAAGGATGAAGATAACAAGGAAGAGTGAATGCTCACACTGAAAAGTCTGTTCACCTATCTGCTCTCCAGACTCATTTTCATCTTTTCCTTCATACCCAAGACAATAAAATGAAACCAATGCTCTGCTGAACAGTATGGTTCTGATCACTCACTGTGAGAAAAACCAGGTTATGTTATGTGACATTCTGTTAGTTGATATTGGTAGCCAAAAATGAAACCCACAAATAAGAGTTGCTAGGATAAATGTTTTAACCAATCAATCATCACTCATTTTGAAAACTATCCAGAGTGTGTTAATATTATAATTTATGAGCAACATAAAATTCATTTCAGAACTTGTGGCTAAAGACTAATTTTGAGAATTGATTCATAACTCTTCATCAGAAGTCTCAGACTTATTCTAAATATTGCTATTTTTCAAGTCCATATTGATGTTCTAAATTTCATTTTATAAGAGTGGATATAGATAGAAATTTTATGTAATAAAACTTAGTATTTTATTACTTAGAGTATAGGTTAAATACAAAACCAGCAATGTTTCTTATTTTCAAGAGTTCCAGTCTTCTTTTGAGGGGTAATAATTATTACTACATTTGTACATGTGTATCTTTCCAGAAAAGAAAAACATCTTTCTCCTCTTTCCCTGCCTCCCTCCCAATCTCCTTCTACCTTTCCCTACTCCCTTCTTTTCTTTATGAAAAAATGTGTGATGCTATATTGGCATCCAACACAAATAATGACAGAGCAGTATTCCTGTACACACTAGTATTTAAGGTTGCACAGCATTTCAAAGCATAGATGAATGCTTACCAACTTGGTATTTAGCTTGTTCTTAGCAATGTTCTTATGAAACCACCTGCTACACAGTTTACCTTTTGCTATCAAAATTTTATATTTTTTGCATTGCTACCACATTTGTACATTTCTACTTTTAGAGAATACTTTTTGAAAGGTAACTGATTAAACATTAAATGCATCTTAAAGTTTGATAGACAATGTATGGTTCATTCAAAGAAGATGCATATGATAAACACGCAAAAAATTACCCCAAACAAATAAAATTGCCTAGTATACTTACAATGGTATATGTGAAGAAATGAAAATCTGATATTTGAGATATATATCTCTTCTATTCTTTGGTAAGTATTTTCTTAGATTGCAAATTACTGTCAATAGGTGAATACATAATCTCATTGCTATTAATCCACTGTCTTTCCATTGTGGTTTTACAAGTATGTGGGATACTCTCTTTGCTGTGATTTCAACTGTAGCAGACTAGAGAAGAATTACTTTGTTGTTATTCCACCAGTAGTAGCAAAAAAAAAAAAAAAAAAAAAAAAAAAAAAAAAGACCAAAAATGATGACTCAGTTTTCTCAATGCAAGGAAGTGTTTATTTTTAAACTCTTTTTAGAAGTCTTTAATTTACTTAGCTTTGACATCAAAGCCTTAGGAAAGATATATTTTAATTTAGAATAATTAAATGAAGGGATGGTAGAGAACTCTTATTCATTACTGTCACAAACGTAACAGTAAATCTAGTTTTGGGGATGTCTGAAATGTAGCATTAGCCTGCCTACTCACAACTCATCATCTAATCTAACCAAAATAAAGGGAAGTCCTAATAGCTTTAGAGTTCAGTGATGTTGATCAATGGTCATAACATGTCTCTGTTATTACTAAGGAATTTCCTCATTTATAATTCCTGTTAGGTTGCTTCAAAACAATCTATAATTCTTAACTAAGTCTTTTGACGTGCTGAAGAAACAACCCAGTGGTAACAGAAATAAAATGTTTAAATAAGCTAATTTACTGTAAAATTATTGCAGAGCATTCATAGAACACTAAAAAGTGAATTAATAATATAGAATAATAAATTCAAAGTCCGGGAAAGTATGCATTCCACTTCAAACACAAGTTGGTATTTTAATGTGAATTTAAATTTTAATGTGTTGTTAGCCAATTCATATATCTGAACGTGGCATGTCCTTCTGACAGGTGCTCTTTCATGGCCTATCATGGTATTCTTATGTTCACAAACATTTGGTCAAGTGTCCTTAGTTTTTTACACCCAACGGAGATAAATACTATTGAACTTAGAATTTTAATCCTTAATTCTGCGAATAGCTTTATGATCAGTAGTGTAAGTTTTCAGTATCCAGATGTTTCTAAATGGTCCTTTGTGTTCATGTAAGTATTGTGTGAAAGCATGCAGAAATATCATGGGACTGTCTGTTGATTAGTACAGATCAAACAAATATGATCATGTGGATATGAGTCTTGGTTCTAATTTCTTCTGTATGTGGTCTGTTTCTCTATTTCCTAGGGAATAGTGAAGAGGCAAAGCAAAGGATGCCTATGCATTAAAGATGAAGCACCGCTATATTTCTGTGGTGGTGTTCCTACTGCAGTGTATTCTAGTTTCTGTGTCCCAGAATTTCTCAAAATTCACTTCCCAGTAGAGCAGTTTACAGGGACACCTAGTGGTGAAAGTGACAGGGGCTCCCATGGCAATGCTGTGACATGAATTAGTGCTAGACAGCTTTTTTTTATTTGAACCCTACAAGGAAATCTATAATGTGGGTATAAATGTTCATGTGACACTGCTCGTTGAGCAGGTTCAAAATGTGCTTGATATTTCTCTGTTTAACAAAATGTGTTTTAAATAGGGCACTATTAAAAATAAAATAGTACAATATAGAGCATATAAACCCTTGTTTATACTGAGTGAAAATGTGGAGGTGCCGCACACTAATACTATAAAACCAATATCCTGAGAAGTCTAATAACTAAGGCATTCTGCAACTTATCAGAACTTCTGCTGAGTTAGTAATCATTAAATATTAGGTTGCTGAGAGGGCTCAGTATTTTCATTTTGTAGGTGAATACACTTGTAAACTTAAATATTCAAAATTTAAAATTATAAAGGTAATTTTTTCACCTTAAAAGAAGTTTCATACATTGTTACCTCAGATTGTAGGATAAATAACTTAATAATAATATACCAACTATTGTTTTTAAAGTAAATTTTGCTGTGTACCTGAGGCCAGTAGCTATGAAAAGTATGCAAATTTTACAGTTCTCAGATTTTCATTGTCTGACATCACAGACCATGTCAGTTCTTTCTCCCTTGTAGAGTTTCCAACCTACATGAAATACACAAAACTATTTCAAAGTGTGTATGGCTTAGTTAAAAATATATACTCAGCATGTTTATTTAGATGAAAACTTGAAAGCATTGTGTATTTCAAGAGGTTTAAATAATTCACTGCTTCTCTATAAACCCCTGAAATTCCACACATATGGAGGCTGTGAAGAACTGTTGAGACACAGCCACATAAAACCCGCCTCTGGAACCTATTACTATCAATCACATGTCTAACCAGAGGATGACCGCACATACTATCCCCTAAGTTAAACTTAGAGAAATCTATTTATGTTTAAAGCATAATTTCAGAATAGGGAGAGAAAAATACATTTGCATGGCAAAAGTACCTACCCATCTATGACAGCGTGAAGCTTGCAAGCAGTCTGCCCTGGGTCACTAACTCTAAACAACTTCCCTATGCTTCTTGTGAAGACTGAGGGCCTAACATTTCCAAAACGTAAAACACATCTTATGAACATCCAGACCCCTTTCAGGGGAGGAAGTTGTCTGGTCTCCTGGAAGAAGCGGCTCATACTTACATAGAGGTGATCAGGAGGAGTTCAGCAGGTGACGCTTCCAGAAACTCGCTTTCAACAGACACTGCCTCTATTTCAGTTGTTTGCAGCTCTCTAGTTGGCTTAGTGTATTCGCTTTCTCCCTGGAGAACCACTCCGACATACTTATAAAAAGTGAGTCTTTAAAAAGATAAAGATAAAAATAACGCACTTTCTATAGCTAGGACGAGCCACTCCCTCCAGGGTCCTTCACTGGAGCCACTGGGAGCAGCAGTATGGACACTCCTCTAAAGGGCAGAGGCATCTGGGCAAACGGCAACCGGTAGGAATCATCTGATCCCTGGTCGCCACCAAGTCTAGCACTGTCAGGGTTCTTTCCAGTCCTCACTTTCCAAGAAGACGATTGCACACTCCTACGCTCGAATTGCGCACATGGTCCAAGACTCCTCTGTCTCCACGAATGTGACATCCAAGGGGGCTCTGACTGCGCCTCCTGAGCCCAGGGCCGCCTTCGCCCTCGGCTGCCATCTACCGGCCACTGGGTGCCCGCTTCGCCCCGGGCCCATCATGTCTGCTGCAGCTTGGCTCGCACCAGCGGCGCGACAATAAACAAGTGCTGCGGACGGGGCCCTGCACCCCGCTACCCAGCAGATGTAGCCGCCTCCTCCGCTCCCAGGAGAGAAGACACGACTTTTTTCTGAGTTTTTCTTTCTTTCTTTTTTTAAAGAACTGCCAGGCTGCCAGGACATGCCACAGGCGTAGAAAAACGCTGCTCCTGCCTCCTCGGACCCCTCAAAGGATGTCGGAGATAAAGAGTTGCGAAGAATGAGGATCGTGCGCCGCATCTGGGGAGGGATAGCGAAAATCCGCTGCAAACACTAGGAACAGTGCAGCGGCCAAGAGGATGTGGGAGCCTTTCAAATACTAATTAGGGGCCGCGACTGCAGGTTAGCCTTGGGGACAACGGCATCCCGGCTGCAGTGGTCGTGCCGCTTGGGGGAGAGGAGCACAGCGAAGGAACCGCCGACGGAGCAGCCGAGGGGCCAGTACCACCTTCTCTCGCCCCCTCACTACCATGTACAGTGTGCGCTGCAAGAAGAAGGCGGACGATGCACGCACACCCTCGAGCCCCTCTCCCTCCGGCTCGTCCCGGGGCGTGCGCCACTGACCAGGGGGTAATGTGGTGAAGACGCCTACCCGGAGAGACTAGGGGGGAGGGGAGGGCGAGCCCGCGCGATCCCAGGCCGGAGGGTGCCAGGAGCCCGAGGCGGCTGGAGGGGGCGGCTGCCCTCACTGGGTCGGAGAAAGTTGCCCCCTGTGCAGATGGGAACAGTAAGTACCCGCCGGTTCCTGGGGTAAGAAGAAGGGGCCCTGAGACCTGGGTTTCGCGCGTGGGAGCGATGGTGCGAGGGAGCGTGAGTGCGATCGGGTGCGAGCGCTCGCCCAGGCTGACCAGGACGTTAGCTAGGCGGCCGAGCCAGGCGTCCTGCTCCGCGTCCCCCGCCTTGGTCTCCCCACTTCCCCTCCCCACTGAGCCCTCCCCGCCCAGCCTGCTCAGGCTCCCAGCCCCTGCCGCGAGCTGCCTTTCCAGCGAGTCCCTGGTCGTCCCCTCCCCCACTCCCCCACCCCACTGCCCGCTCCGGCTACCGCGGTGAGCGCCAGGGAGAGCCCTTTGGGGAGCCCGGGAACCCGCGGTCGCCACCGCGGTGGCGGCCCGGTGCTAGCAGCGTCCTGGTGCCGCTTTCCTCCAGAAGCTCAGCCTGCACTGCTAGCAGCTTCTGTGTCTGCCTAGGCTTTGAAAATCAGTGCACACCCCGAAGAGGTGTTTTTCTAAATGGTAGCTATGATGAGTGGGCCCCTGAGATGGGAGACGGGGTAAGTCTGTGGTTTACTTTGCAAAAGAGGTTCCTGTGTGTGTCTGTGTGGTATGGCGAAGTGGCTTTCTTTGCTTCCCCCCCCCCCTCCGCTTCTTCCTCCCTTTACCCTTCCTTTGCTTTGGGGCGGGGTGGGGGAGGGGGAGTCTCGGGTCCTGGAACTCCGGTTGCCTCTGCCTGAGCGGCGCTTCCAGCAGCTGTGGAGCCACGGGTCCGGCCTGGGTTTGGGCTTCAACCGGAGCGGCTCCATGCTGCTTAATGCAGGGATGTGGCAGGCGGTGATCCAGGCTCTAAATTCTTTGCGAGCCAACAAATACAGTCCCCCGTCCCCGCCCTCTATCCTTTTCTTCTTTTTGCTTTAATAAACCACAAACGTGTGGTGCACCCGCGAGTTTACATCGGTGGTGCTTTTCCCTGTGTGAATGTTAGCATTTCCAGCTCATTCAACTTTATTTTCTCAAATCTTCAGTCTCCTTTGATGGCTGGGGACGGCGGGGGAGGGGGTGAATGGAGAACAGCCTTGGAAAAGGCTGTTCGACCCCGACTAGCCAGAACTGAATTAAAGTTGTAAACGTTCGAATTTAATACTGCTTGGACACAATTTGCAATGGACTCTGAGATGAGGAAGGAGGTGAATGGGGGCGGGGAAGCACCGCGAGGGAGGGGGAGGGGATCCAACCCAGCTGAATGGATGTGCACATTTGATCCAACGGAGAACCAAAATTTCAAGGTAAACGTTTTGATTTCGTCTCAGGATGTTTAAAACCCAAGCCGTCTACTGTGCTGAGGGGAGGTCTGATACACTATTGAGGCTTCTATACTGTGGTTCCGATCTTTCTCGATACGTCTGGGTGGCCAAATGTCAGTGATTCGTAGACACACTTGCACATGTGCGTGCGAATGCAGACACTCTGAACCAGGAGGGTTGGTGCGACTTGGTGATCATATGCAATCTGTGAATCTGTGCTTTAGAAACGTCCTGACTTTAGTTCTGGTTTGAGATTTTCATCAGTTTTTTTTTTTTTTTTTTTTTTGATGGAGGCAGGAACAAGGTTGATCAGAGAAAAGGCATAGGTTCCCAGAACCCCACAGTTTTATCAACATTCCCCCTAAACAACCCCACACTCTACATTAAGAACACTTGTGTCCATTCTCTGAGTGTTGCTGCCAACCCAAAGTAGTAAGTCTTCTTTCCAGTGACAAAAAGGGAGAACAGACGGGGGAGGGGGGGATCAAAGTAGTTTCACGGGGAGATTAAATTCAGATGTTAAGACACTGGCCTGTGACATTTGCCTCTTTTTTGTCTTTTAACCATCACAGCGTCCCTTTATACCAGGAAGGGAAATAAGGGAGAGGGCCATTGACATTTAAACGTAAAAGCAACTTCAAAGATGGAGATGGTGACAAGGCTGTAGTTCGGTCCAAATCTTATGAATTCAGAAAGGCTACTTTTGCATACCGTGGCAAACTGACTTGGAGGCCAGTGTAATAGAGCATTTGCCTGTGATCGGTGGTAATACTTTCAGCCGCTTCGGGGTAAGCTGTAGAAATGCCCGCTTTAGACTCACAGCATTCAGAAGTGCTCCGAGATTGCGGATGCCTTTGCTGAGTTCTCTATAAGCCATCGTGCGGAACTATTACAGTGGTTAAAGACGCGGTTTTGTAGCCTCGCTGGCATGATCAATGAGGAGAAGTGGTCTCAGGGTGCTCCAGAGGAGGCACTGCTAAGTGGCCTGGTGCATACAATCAGGGTTCTGATATGCTTAATAGCTGTGGTGAAGTCCACCATGAAAGCGAACTCGCTCCCCCTCCTCCAACACACACACACACACACACACACACACACACACACACACACCTCTACATTCTCAGTGCTCAGGAGGACAATTGGTGACTTCAAAGCTTCTGTTGGCTGCTCTTGATGCATGATCTTGCATCCTTTCTGCCTCCGTATTCTTTACGTTTCTACCCTGACGTTTCTTGTGGTGATTTAAAATAGCTCAAAGTATTGTGACCCCACGCATATCTGTAAAATTGCGAGACCTTCACAGTAAAGTGTTATCAGAGAAGATTCTGCAAGGAAGCAAGGAGGAGGCTGGTATAGGTGAAGTGGAGAACACCATTGAAAAACTTATACTTCTTTTTCTTAAATTAGAGTGATGAAACTGTACTGACAGCCATTTTATGTATATTTATGGATTAGTTTGATGAAGGAGGGCAGAGAACACTAACACAGGAATTTATCTGCCTTCATCTTCTAAAGAGCAGAAAATTGGTGGCATGCTCACTGGGAAATACCATGAGACTTCAAATCAAAATGAACAGCCAATTTCGGTAAAGTCTGAAAGATATCAATGATTCCCCCCTGGGCAAGGGAGGAAGTGCTTTATATGTGTGTATATCCCCTTTTGGATTTCAGAGAAAAGCTATCAAGAAAGGGAGACTTTCTAATTAACCCCCTTAACTTTTGTGTGTGTGATACTGTCATTTCCTTGTTTCCTCTCTCCCTTGCAGGAGGTAAAATGCACGTTTGCTGCCCCCCAGTAACTTTGGAACAGGACCTTCACAGAAAAATGCATAGCTGGATGCTGCAGACTCTAGCGTTTGCTGTAACATCTCTCGTCCTTTCCTGTGCAGAAACCATCGATTATTATGGGGAAATCTGTGACAATGCATGTCCTTGTGAGGAAAAGGACGGCATTTTAACTGTGAGCTGTGAAAACCGGGGGATCATCAGTCTCTCTGAAATTAGCCCTCCCCGTTTCCCAATTTATCACCTCCTGTTGTCTGGGAACCTTCTGAACCGTCTCTATCCCAATGAATTTGTCAATTACACTGGGGCTTCAATTTTACATCTGGGAAGCAATGTTATCCAAGACATCGAGACAGGGGCTTTCCATGGGCTGCGGGGTTTGAGGCGACTACACCTAAACAATAATAAACTGGAACTTCTGCGAGATGACACCTTCCTTGGCTTGGAGAACTTAGAATACCTGCAGGTCGATTACAATTACATCAGTGTCATTGAACCCAATGCTTTTGGAAAACTGCATATGTTGCAGGTGCTTATCCTCAATGACAATCTCTTGTCAGGTTTACCTAACAATCTCTTCCGTTTTGTGCCCTTAACGCACTTGGACCTGCGGGGGAACAGGCTGAAACTTCTGCCCTATATGGGGCTGTTGCAACACATGGATAAAGTTGTGGAATTGCAGCTGGAGGAAAACCCCTGGAATTGCTCCTGTGAGCTAATTTCTCTCAAGGATTGGTTGGACAGCATCTCCTACTCAGCCCTTGTGGGTGATGTGGTCTGTGAGACCCCCTTCCGTTTGCACGGCAGGGACTTGGATGAGGTATCCAAGCAGGAACTTTGTCCAAGGAAACTTATTTCTGACTATGAGATGAGGCCACAGACTCCTTTAAGCACCACGGGGTATTTGCATACGACCCCAGCCTCTGTAAATTCTGTGGCCACTTCTTCCTCTGCTGTTTACAAGCCCCCCTTGAAGCCTCCTAAGGGGACCCGCCAGCCCAACAAGCCCAGAGTGCGCCCGACTTCTAGGCAGCCCTCTAAAGACTTGGGTTACAGTAACTATGGCCCCAGCATAGCCTACCAGACCAAATCCCCGGTGCCTTTGGAGTGTCCCACCGCCTGCACTTGCAACCTTCAGATCTCTGATCTGGGCCTCAATGTCAACTGCCAAGAGCGCAAAATCGAGAGCATCGCGGAGCTACAGCCCAAGCCCTACAATCCCAAGAAAATGTACCTAACAGAGAACTACATCACTGTTGTGCGCAGGACAGACTTCCTGGAAGCCACAGGACTGGACCTCCTGCACCTCGGTAACAACCGCATCTCCATGATCCAGGACCGGGCCTTTGGGGATCTCAGCAACCTGAGACGTCTCTATCTGAATGGCAACAGGATTGAGAGACTGAGCCCAGAGTTATTCTATGGCCTGCAGAGCTTGCAGTATCTCTTCCTCCAGTACAATCTCATTCGCGAAATCCAGTCCGGGACTTTTGATCCAGTCCCAAACCTCCAGTTACTATTCTTGAATAACAACCAACTGCAGACCATGCCTTCAGGTGTCTTCTCTGGCCTGACTCTTCTCAGGCTTAACCTGAGGAGCAACAGCTTCACCTCCTTGCCAGTTAGTGGAGTTTTGGATCAGCTGACATCCCTCATCCAAATTGATCTACATGACAACCCTTGGGATTGCACCTGCGATGTGGTGGGCATGAAGCTGTGGATTGAGCAACTCAAAGTGGGAGTGCTCGTGGACGAAGTGATCTGTAAGGCGCCCAAGAAATTTGCAGAGACCTACATGCGCTCCATCAAGTCGGAACTGCTGTGTCCAGACTATTCTGATGTGGTGGTATCCACGCCCACGCCCTCTTCCATCCAGGTACCATCCCGGACCAACGCAGCGACACCAGCTGTGAGGCTGAACAGCACCGGGGCCCCTGCGGGCTTGGGTGCTGGAGCCGGGGCTTCGTCAGTGCCCTTGTCGGTGCTGATCCTCAGCCTGCTGCTCGTTTTCATCATGTCAGTCTTCGTGGCGGCAGGCCTCTTCGTGCTGGTCATGAAACGCAGGAAGAAGAACCAGAACGACCACACCAGCACCAACAACTCCGACGTGAGCTCCTTCAACATGCAGTACAGCGTGTATGGGGGTGGAGGCGGCAGCGGGGGTAGCCACCCTCATGCGCACGTGCACCACCGCGGACCGGCTTTGCCCAAGGTGAAGACTCCCGCGGGCCACGTGTATGAGTACATCCCTCACCCACTGGGCCACATGTGCAAAAATCCCATCTACAGGTCTCGAGAAGGCAACTCCGTGGAGGATTACAAAGACCTGCACGAGCTCAAGGTCACCTACAGCAGCAACCACCACCTGCAGCAGCAGCAGCCACCGCCGCCGCAGCAGCCCCAGCAGCAGCCCCCTCCGCAGCTGCAGCTGCAGCCTGGGGAGGAGGAGAGGCGGGAAAGCCACCACTTGCGGAGCCCCGCCTACAGCGTCAGCACCATCGAGCCCCGAGAGGACCTAATGTCGCCGGTGCAGGACGCTGATCGCTTTTACAGGGGCATTTTAGAGCCAGACAAACACTGCTCCACTAGCCCTGCCGGCAGCAGCCTCCCGGAATACCCCAAATTCCCATGCAGCTCGGCTGCTTACACTTTCTCCCCAAACTATGACCTGCGACGCCCCCATCAGTATTTGCATCCGGGGGCAGGGGACAGCAGGCTGCGGGAACCGGTGCTCTACAGCCCTCCCGGTGCTGTCTTTGTAGAACCGAACCGGAATGAGTATCTGGAGTTAAAAGCAAAACTAAATGTTGAGCCGGACTACCTCGAAGTGCTGGAAAAACAGACCACATTCAGTCAGTTCTAAAAACAAAGAAACTCCGTTGGAGCTTTTGCGTTTGAAACAAACAAGCAAGCAGACACACTTGGTGAACACATTTGATTAATTGTGTCGTTTCAACATTTAGGGTGAAGTGCCTTGGCACGGGATTCTCAGCTTCGGTGGAAGCTAACTGAAAGGGTGTGCAATTTACTTTTAATTTTACACGCGGGAAACATTTATGTAAACTAGGCACATCACTTTCTCTTCTTGTCTGTGAGGGAAGAGAGAAGGGCTTTGGGGAGGGCGATTTGCATCCAGGGTGACCTTCAACAGGTTGCGGTCCCTTTTTGCAGTGCTCTGAAGTGCTAAGAAGGGTTGGGGGTGGAAGCAGCTTAGATTCTTCTCATCCTTTTTGCTCCTCTTCTCACATCCTTCTTGTCCTTAGAGCCTTGGCATTGGTTGAGAGATTAGCACACCCCAACTTTAATAGGAAGTTTCTTCTCTCTCACTTCCCTCCCTTCCTTCCCCCTCCCACCTTCCTTCCTAACCTTTTCCTTTGTTTTTAAAGAATGTGTTTGTATGCATTCTGGACATTTGAATTAAAAAAAAAAGTCTTGTGATCCAGAAAGGCTCACTATAGATGTGGACAAATCATTAAAATTACAGAGCTATATGATCCATAATTGATTAGTCAAAATAACTTATTGATGAAATATACAAATATTTTATTGTAGCACCTATTTTTATATGCACATTTAGCATTCCTCTTTCCTTCACTATTTAGCCTATGATTTTCTCAGAGGTGTTGTTGCACTGTACTACGAGCTGCATTTCCAAAATCAGAGTAATATCAGAAAGGCCTATTAAATATTTAAAGACGTGGAGCACTAAATGGCAAAAGTCTTTAAAAACCTATGAAGCCCACCCAATGCGACTTGCCATTCAAAAAATAGTAAACTAAAAAATGAAGCTGTTTATAACCTGCTGTAGAAAAGGAAAAAGATGGAACAATTAATTGGGTAGTTCGATTGAGAAAAGTGTGACAGTTTTTGGATGTATCAGAGAAGGTTGAAAATTATTTTTATTAGTGAACCAAAATGCTGTATTGATTTGACTACTATTGTAGCCGATTTTTGATTGTGTAACCAAACCCAATTGCATTTGTACAGTTCCGCGTGCCCTTGCACCTCAGAAGACCAAACGATGGGCTGTACAAGTCTGTCCAATGTCTTTATCCCTCTGGGCAGATGCTGAGGACAAACAGGATCTCTGTAAGATGGAACTACTATTGTTACAGTCTCATATGTATCCCAGCACATGTAATTTTTTAAATAGTTTCTGAATAAACACTTGATAACTATGTCAACTTTGAGGGATTAAAGTAATGATTCCGGGAGATGGTGGGACCTCCTTATTAAGAATTTAGGAACTAGTAACTCTTTTCTTCCTAGGAATACTAAGTTTCCCTGATTATAAAATTTCAATGTATGTCCATTAATGGGTACACTTACATAATTTTTTTCCTTCGTTGATTCAGAGAAGTATGTTTTTTTTCTGAATGTGTCAGTTATGTTTATTAATGGTATTTTAATTGTATATTTCCTCACTGCTGTGTAATTCTAGTACACAGATCATGGTAAGTAATAAGTTATATTTTCATTTCTCTTGTACAGTTTTATATTTTGTCATATTCATGCTATTTTATACAGTCTGAGTTCTTCCATATTTTAATTTGTATGAAATTGTTCATCAGTTCTGACATAAACCTTATCTAAAGTTGGCAGATTTCATAAATGTTTGAGATGTTGATGTTTGTGGATATTCGCTGTCCATCTCTGATTAAGGTTTGCCAGTGAATTTAGAAGAGCATTTAATGGGAGAAAATATTTGACTCTATTTGAAATTTAAAAAACCAAGCACTTCGTTGCTATTACTGTTCCTCTGTTCTGTCTCATCTAGAATGTGGGCAATATCAAGGACTGTTTGAAAACTTCCTGTTTAAGGAACAATTGCCATGGCATTCTGCCACAAAGAGGCAGCAGTCACCCGTGAGTAAACTGACAGAGAATATGTGAACTCAGATTGAAATGGTAGACCCAGTCTTCCTAAAGGAGTTAGGAAGTGAGATAGAATGCTGCTTTGGCCAAGAGCAGAAAGCCATCCACTCTTCATGTTTGCTCTGCTAAGTATGTTTTCCCCAAAGAAGAAAATGAAGAAGCTTAGTAGTGCCACATCTTAACACCAAAATAAAACCTATCTCCGATTATTGTCTACCTCCTCTTTCTCAGATCCAAGGATTGGAAATCATCAAAAAGCAGCATTATTTCACATTGGTGTTGTTGTTAATATTCCTTTACAGACTGTGTTTTTTGTTTGTTGTTGGTTTATTTGAGAGTACTCCTTTTTCACAGTACTTTTGCATTCAAATATGACAGTGTTTTATAATCTATAAGACACAGATGACATAAAAATACTTCAGTACAATGAAGCTTTATACCTTAAAGTAATAATTACTCAACTTCAAGGCACATTGCTGAACAATATTAGCAATTTCCAAAGAAAATTCATGGCTTGTTTTAATTAATATTTTTCCAATTCTACACTAATTTGTGTGATCGCATCTGAAAATCCACTTTGTTGTACTCTTTCTATAATACAACCTGAGGTTTTTAAGAATACAATTTTTTAATCAGGAAAATTGACAATTATATAGATTATTAGCAAAGCTACTTTAAAATATTTTACAATCTCCTAATAAACATATTAAAGTAAATTAATCTTGATTTAGATAAGTTTGAAAACATATTGTCTCAAAATCATTTTGCATAGAATGCCTAATAAATTATCTTTCTCTTTATACATATTTCCTAAGAGTGCATTTTTATGCACAATACAAGATTAGATGTACATTTTCTTATTTTGTTTTTGATGTATTATCTTCATCTTAGTAATCTATCAGACCAGGTATGCAGTGGGATGTGATTTGTTGTGGAGCTCAGCAGATTCTACCCATGGAATTTTTGGAGACCAATGTGTTATGTTTCTGTCACTGAGGAAAGTTTGGATGCAAGCAAGGATTACTCTTTGTGATTATTTTTATAAATATGCTACATAATCTAGTGTAAATATACTTACTGGTAGATATAAATGTTATTTTTATTTCTCTCTGATTATGATGTAAAAACTATTATTTCAGATAAGTCTACTCCACAATTTACATACTGATAGAAAAATCACACATTGCATTATTTATAAATATTTTCATTTAAATATTAGCTTCAATCTCATAGATGGAACAAAATTTCACACATGTACAGTGGACCATTTTGGCTCTCCTACATAGGTTGCCATGCCTGTCCCCCTCTACTTTTCCTTGACCTCACACAGAAAAAGATAAACGAGGATATAGTAGAAATGTACACATATGTGGAAACACTGTTCAATTATTTTCACTAAAAATGCACTAATGATTGTATGTTTGCTAATTAACTGAAATTATTAATATTATTTTTCCTCCATCTGTTATGATTTAATTCTCCTTACATTTCTTTCTTCTTCATTCTCCTCTTTTTGCTTTATTTTTCAGTAGAGAACAGGAATGCATGAAAATAGTTTGGTTTCAAGAGTGAAAAGCAAGCCATTCAGTCTCCAGAATTCAGTGCCTTTTTCCCCAAATCACACGACTGCAAATTACTGAAAATAAAATGGAACAGAAGTAGGCTTTGAATTCAGCTTGAAGCACGTTCTTGTACTTTTTAGGAAAGTCCAAGTTAAGTTCAAGTTAAGGCTGATGTGAAAAAGAAATTGTTTGATGAAACTATTTTTTAAATGAATTCTAAATAGTGAAATCAGGTGGGAATAGTAAAAGAATGCCTTTAAATACTGGCATATTTAATGACTTGACTTCGACAAGTGAAAAATACTATGAATGTGTTAACTAAACTGTTGATCCTATTAACTGTTTAACTTTAGTTAGAGAAAGGCTAAAAGGTCTCCAGCATTCTGTAAGTGCAAATGCGTGACAGTACCACTAAAGGGGCTGGGTAGATAGTTATGTGCCTAAGATAATTTAGTATACATATCCAATGTGTTAAATTTTAATACATTCATTTTACCATTACTTTAAATCATTTCTAAGACTTTCCTGGCAACATTATCCATATGTATGTCCATGAGTGTATGTCATCAGGTATATCATGAAACAGCATGTGGGATATGGGTCAATTCAATTTTCATAAGCTGTTTCTTTGGAATTTCAAATTAAACTTTGATGTTTTGTGTTTTTAAAATGTTAGATTGGAAAGAAAAGAATTTAATGTAGTATGTATGTATGAAACAACTAACTATTTTTTTCTTCTCTTGTTTTTTATCAGACCATTTGGCTCAAAAGTCACAGATCAAATATATCTAATGGTAACTATATTAAAATTATTATAAAGAGTACTTTTATACACATTCCTATGAAGAGCAACATTTAACTTATGAATCTGGAGTGATATAAGTTATTTTTTATGAAAAGCTGTTGAAGATCAAAATAGAGATATTTAACAAAGAATTGATGTGGTACAAATGTTAAGCAAATTGACTTTCTCCAATTTTGCAGTTGGCAACATTAAAACATAACAATAATTTGCATATTGCAAAGTATGTCAGGTATAGTTTTATTAAGTATCAGAATGCCACTTGCTAGATGAAGCATTATCATGGAAATATATGTTAAATCAAAAGTTATGTAATGATTTTAGGTGGGTAATAGTTAGTAAACATAAAGAAATAGTGTATTTCTAGTGTGAAGTATAAATGTACCTATTTAAAATTTAGGTGTGTTTATAAATATGAAAGTTTGGAGCAAGTAGGTGATGGATATTTTTAATTTAAAATGTTCTTAGATGAAACTATGGCGTGCTGAGAGCTCACTAAACTTAGTATGCTTTGAAAAAAAAAGGTGTTTGCATTTTTTCATTGTAAGAAGTAATTTTAACATATCAACTTCTTTCAGTTCAACTTAGATCTTACTGTAATAATTCAATATTAAATATCACTTTTATGACCATACATTGCTTTATAAATATTAGTGGTTTAGAAAATGAATATTTTTAACTTTTTCTTATAAATCATTTTCACTATTAATGGCAATTTCTAAATTTTCCATCTTATATACTTTTAAAGACTATTTTGTATAGTTCACTGGAAGCTTAATATTGGACATTGACACCACACTTGCTGTATTTTTGCAGTGTGGTACCTGTATATTTAAATAAATGTAATAGATAATATTAATCTGAACATAATTGTTTAGCACAGTTGTTTGTCAGATACCATATTGCTTTGATCAGAAAAATTCTTAGGTATGAGCAGTCATCCTGTTTCATTGTACCCTTGACCTGTGTTTGTCTTCTTCATCCTCTGCAACCAAGATTAGATAGTCATACTGAGACAGTGTAAACTCTGTAAGACTGTCATGTTGAGACAGTATCAGCTCTGGAAGACATTCATACTAAGATATGTCATCTCTGGAAGACAGTCATACTGAGACAGTATCAGCTCTGGAAGACAGTCTTACTGAGACAGTGTCAGCTCTGGAAGACAGTCTTACTGAGACCATGTCATCTCTGGAGGACCCTCATACTTAGACACTGTAGCACTGGAGGACAGCCTTACTGAGACAGTCAGCTCTGGAAGACAGTCTTACTGAGACAGTGTAGCTCTGGAGGACAGTCATACTGAGACTGTGTCAGCTCTGGAAGACAGTCTTACTGAGACAGTGTAGCTCTGGAGGACTGTCTTACTGAGACAGGGTCAGCTCTGGAGGACAGTCATACTGAGACAGGGTAACTCTGGAGGACAGTCTTACTGAGAGAGTGTCTGTTCTGTAAGATAGTCTTACGAAGACCATGTCATAGTTGTTTTTAATTCTTGCAATGAGATTCATCTTCTGCTGCCCCCCCCATTTTTGAAGTTAGTGTAGTTCTCTAACTGACTAATTAATTTCAATCATACTAATACTACCTCCTCATGCTAAATAATAAAACAAAGGATACTCCATCATGCTGGTAAAAGACTAAGTAAGCAAGACAATGTGAGAGAAGAGATGTGGATTTTAAATTGTCATTAACTAATGATCACCCTGTATGCACAGAATATTTAACAAGTGAAAACTTTTTTAGTACATTTAAATGATTTGACACACTAGACTAAATGTATAGCCTTCACTGAAACTTAACAAATATTCTTTATCCTTTTAATAGGTCTCAATTAATGCAGTGGGAGAGCTACAAGTTAAGTCAAAAAATATGGGATTTATTTTGTCAGAACAAATTAATTTATCTTTCTAGACAAATTG